GCAGAAGACTTTCGAGAACTTTGGCCAAGCAGTTCAGGATCGAGATAGGTCGGTAATTTTCCACTTTGTGCATGTTACCGGACTTGAAGATTGGTGTAATTGAGGCGAGATTCCAGGCATCCGGAAAAACGCCATCCTTAAGCGATCGATTGAAAATAGACATTACGGAAGTGGCCAACGATGCTGCATAGTTCTTGACGAAATACGGTGGAATACGGTCCGGGCCTGGACCTTTCGATGGATCGACTGAGCAAAGGGCTTTGAGAATAGCGTCTTGACTGAAGATGAGCTGCTGCAGGTGAATGTCGTATCTTGGTAGCTGATCAATGTATTGCTGCGGTGGAGGAGTTTGATCGGGATCGAAAACACTTCGGAAAAAGTCAGCGAAAAGGTCAGCGGAAGCGGTGTCGGTGGTGGAGCTTCTACTGCCGTAGGTGACGTCCATGGGAATACCAGCTGATCTTTTCCGAGAGTTGATAAAAGATCAGAACGACGATGGATTTTCCTTGAAACCCTTCTGGAGGTTGTCAATGTACTCACGAAAGCGAGCTTCCTGCAAACTATTATACTCTGCTTCTACTAGCTGCACCGTATACTTGTTTGCTGCGGTCCGGGAACGAAAGTAACGTTTTCGAGCTTTACGCAGACGGTTACGCAGATTACGCAATTGCGGATTCCACCAAGGTTGTTGGAAGGGCAAACAAGATTTTCGTGTCTTACCCGGATTACTTTATAGATGTTGTCGTAGAATACGGAGACGGTGGCATCAATGGTGAGTTGGTCAAGTAATTGTACCCAAACCAAGGCGGTAATCCTCGTGATAACAACATCGAAATCACATTGTGCAAAATTATACTCACTGCGGGCTGCTGGGTACGGGAGCGGATGATCTCTCGAACGAGAGTCAACTTTTAGAACCAACGGCTTGTGGTGACAATCAACTTTCATAATTGCAGAGGGTCGTTCAAACAGCTCGATGCAATCGGAGTCACTGACGTGAACCAGGTCAAGAAGCTTACCATTCGTGTTCACCAGATCGTTGATTTGCTTCAATCCAGCAGACAGTATGGACTCCACTACAGCGAGTTCCTGTTCTGATGAAGCATTGAGAGGCAGAAATCCTCTGACGTCCTCATCGAAGTCCCAAGCTAGATTTGGCAGATTGTAATCGCCCACAACTATGGTTGTATCGTGAGGGTTTGCCATACCAAGGAGCTGTTGTACGGACTCAGCGTGTTTGGTGTAAATGTCGGGCTGACTGTTTGGTCGAATATAGATGCAGCACAGGAAATCGACTTGAACAGCAATTTGTTCGAGGCTCTCAACGCCCACAAGATGCACAGCCTTACACTTCAGCTCGGATTTCACGCCAATTACGACGCCACCGCCACGTCGCAGTGCGCTGGTGCGAGAATTCCGGTCACAGCGGTAGATTGTGTAGTTGCTTGCGAGTTCCGCATTCGTAATGTCGGTATGAAGCCTGGTTTCAGTGAATACGACCATGTCGAAATCACAAGAAAGCAGCGAATGGAGTAGAGCGTTAGTTTTAGTCCTCAAGCCTCGGACGTTTTGATAATATACGGTCCAATCTGTGCGAATGTTGGCAGGGTCACAAGACGCTAGGTTAGGCGAGGTGCTTGGTTCAGCTGACTCTAGGCGTTGCTCATTGGACCAGAATCTATGTGCAGCACCGGTTTCCAAAAATTCTGCGTTCTCCTTTCATCTTCAACGAACTCCCGAAATACGATACCTTGTGGCCAAGACGAAGGATCCATCGCTTTTGTCTTCATTTCGTGATTGACTCCAACCTTGAATGAAACGAAAGACAGTGCTGACAAAGGCCCTCCTCTGGGCTTCAGGGATTTGGCAACAACTTCATCCGTATTCAAACAATCTTTGGCAAGTTTCTCGATGTCTGCCTCCGATACATCTGGTGATATTTTTGTTAGATACAGCCAGAACTTGTCGTCGTATCTACTCATTGGGGCTGATGTCACGTTGAGAGTTGATTGGCCTGTGCCACGTAAAACTTTGTTTGGCTGATCGGATGCCGATGATTCGTCGTCACGGGGACTCTTTGGCGTTTTTGGATTACCAAACGCGAACATGAATTAAAATTTTATTGAGCTCATTTCAACCAGCATTTTTATCTATTCATATTTCCTATTAATCCAATATATATTCTAAAAAAAATCGTATTCCTTTTCTACCAATAAAATTAACAAACATCAATAGGGTTGCTTTACATGGGAATAACTATTGTTTACATTCGTTCCAAATTCATTTTAATTGTATATTGCTTCATGATTAAAATTCGGCGAAATGACCCATTCGGTGAAATATCCTTCGGCGAAACTTTCTTCGGTGAAACGTCCTTCGGCGAAATGACACAGCCCCGTTCTGAAACGTACTGTTTTGTTACTAGTAATCAACATTCACAACAGCAGTTAGGTTAACTTTGACATAAAATTATGTCAACTGTCATAAAAACAAACCTGCAAAATGTGTGTAACGTTGCCGTGAACCCAGCTTGTGCGCAGCATTGCCACGCATTTTGCAGGTATGGTGTTATGGCTGTTAATAAATATTGCATTTCCTGATTTTTATTCCAATATATAAGTTTAAAGTGGAGGCATCATACTTCAAAATATTATGCTATCAATAATAAAAAAAAACTGGAAGATTTCAAACATTAACTGTCTGACTGGAACAATCCAGTATAAAATGAAAAAAATGGGCAGAAGTATGATAATCAAAGGAGATGATTTCGTGATGGTGGATACATTTGTGTACCTCGGATCATTGGTGACGTTGGATAAAAACTGCAGTATTGAAATTCAGAGACGCATTATTGCCGGAAGTCGTGCCCCACAAGACCTGGAGGCTTTCGCCTCCATACTAATTGTACCATGTACAAGACGCTGATAAGACCGGACATGGGCATGAGTCGTAGGCAATGCTCGTGGAGGACCTGAAAGTACTGGGAGTTTTCTAACGACACGTGCTTAGGATCATATTTGGTGACGTCTGGTGGAAAAGAATGAACCACGAGTTGACACAACTCTATGGCGAGCCCAGTAACTAAAAAGTCGCTAAAGTTGGAAGGGTACAATAGGCGGAACACGTTGTAAGAATGCTGGACATCAATGCCGTAGCGTAGCGAGCTTGGTGGTTAGACCAAGTGTGGAGTTCGTTGGTGCATAGGTTGTACAGCAGGTCAAATCTTGAAGGACATGGGACTATTGCGGGGATTCTCTGACTTGTTGCCAGCGCCCTAAACGCCCTCTCTACTAGCTCTGTGTGTACTCTTGGCAAAATTGCAATGTCATCTAGCCTTGCTGACGTCTTCACTTGACTTGCGACCTCAACGACATTCATGTTTGAATAGGAAGGTCATTGTACTCTCACATTTCAGAATGTTATATACGCATACTCTGTTGCGCTAGGCTGAATTGATTAACGTTGAGAGGTTATCATATGACCTATCTTACGATAGTGAATAAGCTGCACTAAAGCAATGCAGATAATTTGACCCATTATAATTACCAGTGATTGGTAAGGCAAAGGGTCACAATACCCAAATTAGCGAATTATACTCCATTGCCAACAGCACAACGAACGTGTAACGCACCCCTTATTCGAAAGCTGAGTTGTTCCGTGTCTCATTCTAAATTGGATTTTTAAAATGACTAACACCGGCCGCCTCCACTTCTAGGCATCTAGTTATTGCATATGTATGAACCTACATTACATTACACTATAGGAATAGTTGCGTGACAGCATGAATGCCAAAACCGGCATGACGAGCGAGAATACTGGCGAGAACGCGATGAAAACAAACGCGTGCGCACTTGCGCGCCAACATTACCAATCGTCATTCAATACAAACCAACACAATGTAAGGGAAATGGGGGTTAAATGCCCATGGCAGGCCAAATGCGCCCCCTTCTATCTTAGCTGTTGGTTGATATGATGTCGACATATTTCTACCATACCAAATTTAAACAAAAATCTGTTAGAAGCAATTTAATTGAAATTTATAAAATTGGAAAACCATTTTAGCAGAAAATCACGCAAGAATAGCATATTTTATAAACAGCTGGTATCTCTGAACACTATCAAAATTAACGATTTGATTGATGCAAGAAGTTAGGTACATCCTTCATATTTCGGTTCGATAGTTCTAATGGCATGTTTATTAGAAAAAATAGTAGTTAATTTCAAAATTGATATTTGTTACTCTATGTGGGGTATACAACCTAAATGTATGCTTCCGTGGCATGAAATCAGTATTCGCAGTTTGCCCCACAGCATTTCAAAAACAGTTTTTTGATGGCCTTTTTACCAATTTAAACAAGAATTTAGCAATTTTCATCAAGCATATCAATTGTAATAACATGCCAATAGCCTATTACAACTTATAAATTGCATCACACCTAAATACCACATCACTTTGTAGATTAAACGGGGATCTTTTTTAGCATGGGCATTTTACCCCCATCCCTCTACCTATGTACGATGCCTACATCCACCATAATAGGCCTGACTCGGTACCACTATACTGATTAACTGTGGAGAGAGCACAGTACAGAGTCCACCTGGAACGATTATTGTTATCGTACACTTCTCGCTGTAGAGACCCGATTATCAATATCCATACATCTACAGACATTTCGTTGATTAGAATGACTACATACTAGGTGAAAACTAGGTTTGGTATCTTAAGCCACCGAGTTGTGTCATCGCGAAACAATTCTGTACATAATTCTTGAACATTTGCTGAATTACACCAACGACGCGATGTCGGTCTGTTGAGGCGTATTGACGACGGCGGCGTCGTCGTCATCGTCATCGTCGTTGTATTTGTTGATAAGCAAGCGGCCTATGTGACTGTGGCTTATATGTAACTGCGGAACTTTGCCTTTGGAAGCTCATTCATTGCCAGACCGGAAAGTGTGTCAGACATCGTCGTTCGGTTCGATTTTTTTCCATTTAAATTTATTCTCTCTGTCGGTTATCGGGAGTGACGAATTTTGTTCGAATAAAACAGCACAAAATGTCCTTGGAAGAGCTAAAACTGGCCGACGAACTGTTCGACGATGCCAAGTACCAGGATACGTTCGATCTGTTGGATAAGCTTAGCGTATGTTTTTTTTGTGATGTCGTGTTCTTTGAGACGTAACGAAAGCTGATAATTTGTTCTTGCAGGAGAAAGGCGTAGTGGAAGTGCAGTGGCGTTTGGCGCGAGCGGTGTTCTTCATTTCGAAGCAAACCAACAACAACGACGAGAAGGCCAAGTACGTCCGGGAAGCGTTTGGCTATGCCGAACGGGCCTTGGAGTTGGATGGGAAAAATTTCTTCTCCAACAAATGGTACGGAGCCATCCTGTCGGAGAAAAGCAACCTGGATGGAGTGTCCGAACGTATCAAGCAGCTGGAGCATGTGAAGAAACATTTCACCGCCGCCAAGGATTGCAATCCGACGGATCCGGGAATCTGGCACATGCTTGGACAGTTCAACTTCAAACTGTCAGAAGTCAATTGGGTGACACGAAAGCTGATCAACTCGGTAGCATCGAACCCGCCAACGGCTTCCTTCGAAGAGGCTCTGGAGTGTTTCGAAAAGGCTGAAGGACTGAAGCCGGGCTTCTACAGCCAGAATCAGTTGTATCTCGGCAAGACTTATCTGGCACTGAAGCAGAATGCTAAGGCCCGCGAGTGGCTGCAGAAAGCTTCGGAGGTCGAAGTTCGAAGCGAAGACGATCGTGTGTGTCGTGAGGAGGCTAGCGAGGCGTTGAAGAAACTATAATTTCAGTTAATTTATTATTACCGTACGATAATTTATGGGTATGGACTTTTGTTTTTGTGATGCAGCAGCGCGTGTTTTGAAGTGCGGTGATAGGTACAAGTCATTACAGTAGGTAGCAGAGTACGCGAGCGAGAGTTTACTTATGATCTGCAAGCGCAGTTGTGACTGTAATTTTCCGTTTAATTCTAAGTGTGAATGCAAACAAAACCGGATTTCAGTTGAGCGGAGCTTAGCGAGATGAACCTTTGCCTCCGGTAGTACTAGCTGTTCTGTTGTAGCTAGATCGTTGCCATAAGTGATAAATATACGGATGATATTGCTAGAAGGTCAATTCCGGGTTTTATTTTATCGATAATCATTTTTGGGAGGGCAAGCCAGCACTGATCAACTTCTTTTTCATCATCGTACAAGATCTAATCATAGTATTAGTTTCATTGTTGATTAAAATAAGCAGGTTTTGTTACATTATAAAAATAGTAAACTATACACAAATACTTCCGGAAATTACAATTACAAAGCTGTCTCACTGTTGACGACTCTCGTGTTTCGCTCCATGAACTCACTGACTGAGGGCAACGTATTGAAGTGGACAGTTTACAATCACTTTTCAATTTAGGTTCCTTATCGTAATGGACTATAATGTACACCAGGGAGGGATTCTTATCTTTGTTTAAGGTAAAAATTTAGTTCGGTTCAATCGCCCATTTTTGATTAGGTCGTATGTAACATTTTTGAAAATTAGAGAAACAAGGTGTTTTGTTTTGGTTCAACAAAAAATGTTTCTATTTTAACTTAAATGGATAATTATTTAAAAAAAAATCCCGTTAAATAACATCTGAGGAGTGCTGATATCGGTTGCTGGTAAAGTATAGATAGTGTTCATGTTAGAAGAATATAAAAAGCAGAAGAGCCTGTGCCTAGGGGTACGAACGGAACCGCGATTGGCCGGTGCATTTGTTTTTGGATTTGACTATTTGAATTTTTCAAAAATATGTTATATATTTTTTTAAATACGAAGATCGCAACGATTTTTTCCTGAAATTATTAATTATTTTGTTGGACATTTATTCTAAAGTCTCAACATTCGAAATTCTATGTACATCGGTAGTACTGTACCAGGGAGGCAACTTCAAAGTGCTTTTTCCTGGTAGTGCAACAACTAGACCATATTGGCGCAGCGTAAAGCATGGCCGGTCTAAACACTTGTTTAAATATTAGAAGTTTATTCTTCAGGCAAAGTTTGGATTTCCTTTTTATAAGAGGATACAAACATTTTCTACATTTATTACATTTGGCTTGAATGCTTTCAATGTGATCTTTAAAAGTTAATTTTTGGTCAAGTACTAATCCAAGATATTTCAGTTGAATTAACTAAGAAATTGGAACTCCGTTAGTAGTGACTAAATATGTGATTACTACTAGGTTTCAAAAAGAAAACTTTAGGCAAATGTGAAAATATTATAAGTTGAATTTTGGAAGCGATGGGAGAAATCTTCCATATTTGTATGCAACAAGAGACAATATCTAAACTTTTTTGCAGTCTGCTGCAAATAACACGAAGACTTCTTCCTTTAGCTGAAATGCCTGTGTCATCGATGAATAAAGATTTGTGGCAACCCTTACGCAAATCAGGGAGATCCGAAGTGAAAATGTCATACAGTATACGCCAAAGAATGCTACTCTGAGGAACTCCAGCTCTAACAGGTAGTCGATCAGATTTGGAATTTTGATAATTTACCTTCAGAGTTTTGTACGTTAAATAATTTTGAATTAATTTCATAATATAGAGTGGAAAATTAAACTTTTTCAATTTAGCAATCAAACTTTCATGACAAACACTGTCGAATGCCTTTTCATGTCTAGAAGAGCAACTCCAGTTGAGCAGCCTTCAGATTTGTTTGAACGAATTAAATGGGCAACTCTTAAGAGTTGATGAGTTGTTGAACGCCCATGGCGAAATCTAAACTGCTCATCTGCAAAAATTGAGTTCGAAGCATCATTCTATTTAAAATTATCTTTGCAAAAAGTTTACTTATTGAAGAAAGCAAACTTATTGGACGGTAGCTAGAAGCTTCAGCTGGATTTTTATCCGGTTTCAAAATTGAAACAACTTTTGCATTTTTCCATTTATCAGGAAAGTATGCCAAATGGAAACATCTGTTAAATAATTTTGCCAAGAAAGACAAGGTACTCTCTGGGAGTTTTTTGACGAGGATATAGAAAATTCCATCATTTTATGAATCTTTTTAGTTATAGACCTTATTTCGTCCAAATCAGTCCTCCAGGAATCATTAAAAATATTTTCCCGATGGAAAATATTCAGATAATCCCGAGCAACCTGATTCTAAACAGGACTTGGGTCTGGGACTGGGTCTTACTACCAAACTGAAATTATGGGAACTGTCGAATTGCTTAACAAGTTTCTGAGCTTTTTCCAAATTTGTGATCTAAATTTTACCACCTTCTTGAAGCGCTGGAATAGGCTTTTGAGGTTTTTTCAAAATTTTTGTGAGTTTCCAAAAGGGTTTGGAACTCGGGTCTAATTTAAAAACATTATTTTTAAAAGTTTTGTTCCTCAGGGCAGAGAATCGCATTTTAATTTGTTTTTGCAAATCCCGTCAGATAACTTTCATGGCAGGATGGCGTGTTCTTTGATATTGTCTCCTACGGACATTTTTAAGACGGATCAAGAGCTGAAGATCGTCGTCTATTAAAATTGAATCGAATTAAACCTCGCATTTTGCTACTGAGGCAGCTCTTGCTTCAACTATAGAAGTAGTCAGAGATTCAAGAGCATACTTAATTTTATCTTTAGTTTGCAAAGGAATTTTTGGATCGAAGTTATATTCCATAAATGTTCGATATTGCTCCCAATCAGCTCTATGGTAATTGAAAGTAGAGCTGTTGGGATTAGAAATTATTTCTTGGGATATTTCAAAAGCTACTGGAAGGTGATCAGAACTGAAGTTAGCATGGGTAACCAATTGGCTACAAAGTTGACATGAATCAGTTAAGATCAAATCAATAGTTGGATTATAGGATTAGGATTTCTTGCTGAAGAAAAGCATGTTGGGCTGTTTGGATATTGAATAGTGTAATAACCTGCAGAACAATCATCAAACAGAATATTACCATTGGGATTGCTTTGAGCATTATTCCATGAGCGGTGTTTTGCATTAAAATCACCAATAATGAAGAATTTAGACCTATGACGGGTAAATTTCTGGAGGTCACCCTTGAGAAAATTCTTTTGCTGGCCTACGCATTGGAATGGCAAATAGGCAGCTATAAACGTAAGTTGTCCAAATTTTATTTCAACAGAAACTCCCAAAGTTTCAAAATCTTTGGCTTCAAAATTTTTTATTGAAGTAATGAAATTGGGTTGTTATCGGAATGCTTAAATAAAACAGCAAAAAAAAAGGGTTATCTACCAAGCCTTTGGGATTTTCCTTATTAAAGAGTTGGTTTTTATTAGTTAGGTAGGTTCCGATTCAATATATTGTAGTTTAATTTTTATACCTGTGATCTTGACTTTTATACCTAGGGGGTTAGATTTTGATAAGTTCTTTAGTGGGAAAGACACTGATGAAGACTGCATATTGTAGTCGAAATACGTATCTGTCATGGATACCCAAATTAATTAAGTGGAATTAAATGGAAGATAACCCTTTTTTGCTGTTTTAGTTAAGAATTTTATGTTTGATTCGTCTATGAACAATGATGGCAACTCCACCACAGGCTCCATCAAGACGATCATTTCTATAAATAAAATAATTAGCGTCCCTCTTAACCTTATGGTCAGGTTTAAGGAACGTTTCAGTTATAACGGCAATATGCACGTTATGAACTCTCAAAAAGTTAAATAGCTCGTCTTAGCATCAAACATGGAGTTAGATTTAAGCATATCAGAAATCATGTCAATTAATGATTTCTGTAAAAATTCCATTTTAGGAGCAGTAATGCTTCCTAAGTCAAAATTTCCGATAAAATTCCTTTGGTTAGTATTTTGATTTCTACCCGGTGCAATAGCAGCATAGGTAATGTAGCTCCATTCACTCGCTGAACATTGTTAGCAGCGAGGGGAGTAGGTATAGATAAAAAATTTGAAGCAGGGGTGATATTTGTACCTACGGGTACGCATGTAGAATTTGTTCCCCACTGACCGTTGTTAACAGCAGAGGAATTTGTACCTGTTCGGAAACGTGGAGCGTTTCCTACCTGTCGCTTAGAACGAGATTGTAGGATCGCTTTGCGAGTCTTACATTCCCAAAAATTGGATTTGTGGTTTTCACCGCAATTTGAACATTTAAATTTCTTAGGATCTTCCTTCATAGGACAGTCACCCTTTGCGTGAGAGGAATAACCACAATTCATGCATTCAGCCGGCATATAGCAATTTTTAGTTCCATGACCCCATCCCTGGCACTTACGGCACTGGGTGAGGTTTTGGAAATTTTCTCCAGTCTTCCTGAAGTGTTCCCACTTCACTCGGACATGGAGCATAAGGCTAGCTTTTTCTAAGGCCTTAAGGTTGTTTAGTTCACTAGACTTGAAGTGAACTAAATAAAAATCATTAGAAATCCCGTTGCGCGAATCGACAGGATGGGATTTCATTTTCATTTCGATTACTTGGAGTGGCACAACTCCAAGTAACTTAGCCAGTTCATCTTTGATCTGATCCAGGGATTCACCACTGGGCAGTCCTTTCATGACAACCTTGAACACACGTTCAGTTTTGGTGTCGTAAGTAAAAAAATTATGCTGCTTCTCAGTAAGATACTTGAGAAGACATTTAAATCGGTCCAAGGTTTCAGCCAATACACGGCATTCACCCCGACGTCCAATTTGCAGTGAAAACTTAACTTTTACGAAATTCAAAAGTTCCATGCGAAGAGCATGGAAATCGGAAGTGGTTATCACAATAGGGGGAATCTTTTCCTTCTAGCGTTAGCGTTGTTATGTCTACTTCGTAGATTGGATACTAGCGACACTCATGTCTCTTCTGAAATTCTCAGTTAGACTACTTTCAGGAATAATGCTGAGGAGTAAACATTGGTTCCAATCTAAACAAGAGTAACAGAAGCATGACTGTCGCTATTCCCGGCTACGCCCATCTTTACCATAACTAGGGATAGGGAAGGAAATGTTGATGTAGTACTTACTTAACGAGAGGCCACCGACTTAGCGACACCCTCATAAGTGCTACGGAGTTGGAGGGTTGGGTAGGGTATTCGGTTAGGATTCACCTCAAGTTGGCGATGCAACCAAAAGTATGTATTGTTTATTTGTTGTTTATTTAATCTTTCGA